CCCTCTCTCTCTCTCTCTCTCTCTCCCTCTCTCTCTCTCTCTCTCTCTCGACGTTTAATGACGAAAACCGTGGGGAAATTTCTGTCCACAATAGCGGCTTAAACGTCACGTAACGCGATCTTTCCCGCCTCGCTGATTGAAACGGAACGTTATAGCTTTTGCTGGAGGAATATCTGATTTTCCGCGCGAACACGGAACTTCCATCAAACGTTCGCGTGAATTTCAAGGCTCGATCACGATTCCGCCCGCGTACATCGCGCGCTGGCTAGATCTGCCGTGGAAAAGGGAAGCCGTCCAGCGTTAACTTGTCCTTCCCGGCGAGCTATTTATCAGCGTTGAAGAACTGGAAGAAAGTTCCGTGGAAATACGAGAGGGAGAGGAGACTGAATATGTCTCCCGAGGGAATATCATGGACTCCACCCGGCCAGGCACTCGGTACATCGAATCAGCTTTCTACTTGTTATCTCCCGGCATTTGATCTCTTTGCCATTTCCTGTCCACTCTTTTGTCCCGGATTCTGGAGACGACGTTTCCTTCGGGGCGCCTTTAGTCCTGGTAGAAATAAAGATTCGGCCAATTGCTCCGCGGTGAAAGGACCCACTCGCTGGAGAAAACAATCCCCCGACCTGGCCATTTTACGCCATTTTTTCCACGCCAGACGTTACCGTTTAATTTCGCTGTTCGATCAAACTGGCTCCACTCTCCGTGTCGTTTCATTATTTCGACGGAATATTACCGGGAATTTATTATCGGATTAAGAGGACTCGTCTTCGACGTCGATCAATGTATTAATTGTTAATCAGAGATTGCAGTTAAGTAGCTTTATCTCACGGTATTTCCTCGAACGGTAACTCGGTTTAATCTCGACGAAGTCGAGAATATTTCTCCTGAATTTCTTTGCGACTGCTGAAAGTTCGGTTATCCCTGATGCCACGCGAGTTTGCCACTTAGCACGTGTTTCCATCCTCTCTCGGAATATTTGCAAGTGGTGTTCGCTCTAATCGGGTCTGCTAGCCAACGCCGCCGAATCGCTGGCGTGCTCGTGAAACTTAAATCCACGAGTTCGTCCCAGGGCGACTTAAACTTTGACCAGCCAACCAAATATTAACTCTTTGCACCGCGAGCTCGGCCGAAGAATTTCATCTCTCCTGCCTGATGAAGAGAAACTTCGCTCCGGAATCATTGTTGAGATTTCAAATACGATCCTCGTGAGCAGTGTTCCGTCGAACTTTGCTCGGGCTTCGAATCGACGATTGATAAAAATCGTACAATTAACGTTTATCCTCGCGGGACGATAAGACCAGTCGTGGCACTCAAGACTCGCGAAATAGATCTCGAGTGGAGAGATTTAAATCTCGAAACGCTTTAATTCCTTTAACCTGCTCGCGAAGAGGGTGTCGTTAAAATTCTACGAGCTATCGATACCGGATCGCCGAGAAACTTTTTAAATCGTCGAATCCAGCCGAATTGCTTTTACGATTGTCGATTCTCTCACAGGCAAACAGCGTAGAACGCATTAAAACCCTTCTTGGAGAAGCAGCCGGAACGGTTTCCAACGAAGATATTCCACGTTGGCGAACCGAGCTCTAAAAGCGCATCCCCCTTTTCACGAACGTTTATGGTTGGTAATAGTTCGAAAGTCTCCGGGCCCCGGGGCGAAAAGGCTTTTAACCGGCGTGTATTTTCCATGCTCTCTTCGATTGCACAATTCCGTCGAGATTTCGCGATGCACCGAGATGAGTCTGCGTGGCTGTGCAAACGGAATCTCGATGGCGATAAAATAATTGCACCCGCGATGCACTCGTTTCGAAATTATCGCGCTCGCATAGGTATTTAATATTGCGACGTGTTAGATTTACGATCGATTAATTAGTCGGTCGTCCTTGTGTTGGAAATCATTCGATTTCGTATACGCTACGTCATAGAAATAAATCCAAAACACTCTGAACATCTCCCTTGTTCAGGAGCAAATAAAAATAAAGTTCAGTTCCAAGTCAAGGGTCATAAGGTTCAAATGACATTGTCTGTACATCCACCAATAATCTCTTATTATAAATCGATCTTGGAATACGTACATATGATGAAAAATAATTAGGAAAAATAGCACAGTCTAGAAGTCTCCGAATGAGAAAAGAAGAATGAATTTTTTTCAATAAATCGTGTCACCGAGTGTATATTTTTTAATTTTATTTTTAATTTAACTGCGAGACACTTTCACGTGTCTTTGTGTTGGAAATCATTCGATTTCGTATATAGTATGTTTTAAGAATAAAGTTTAGTTCCAAGTTGAGGGTCATAAGGTTCAGACGATATTGTCTTTACAATCACCAATAATCTCTTATTATAAATCGTTCTTGGAATACGTACATATGATGAAAAATAATTAGGAAAAATTGCACAATCTAGAAGTCTCCGAATGAGAAAATGAGAATGAATTTTTTTCAATAAATCGTGTCGCCATGTGTATATTTTTTAATTTTATTTTTAATTTAACTGCGAGACACTTTCACGTGGCTTTATGTTGGAAATCATTCGATTTCGTACATACTATGTTTTAAGAATAACGTTCATTTCCAAATTGAGAGTCATAAGGTTCAGACGACATTTTCATTACATTCACCAATAATTCCTTATTATAAATCGATCTTGGCATATGTACATATGATGAAAAATAATTGGAGAAAATAGCACAGCGTAGAAGTTTCCGAATGAAGAAATGAAAAGGAATTTTTTTCAAAAAATCGTGTCACCGAGTGTACATTTTTTAATTTTATTTTTAATTTAACCGCGAAACACTTTGACGTGTCGCGTAATTTTCCTAACGGCCATCGAAATAACCGCGACACATGGAAATCAGCACGGCGTCTTCCCGACGAGAGTCCCTCCGCACGTAAGTCCTGGATCGTTCCAATTATTTTCTTCCAGCGAAACGGTTCCTGCGTTCGCCTCGTAATACCGTTAACCACGATCGTTTGTTTCGCACCGCGTTGCAGCAACCGAAGAGGAGATTTTTAATGATCTTGGCGCCGATAATTGAACTTCTCTCGTCGTACGCGAAATTCAATCAACCGGTCGAGTCACTCGTATCTGACATAAAAGACTCGCGAGCTTCGCGAAGACGTTGGCAAGGATCTCAGTGTGTCGCTGAATCTTCCCGGAACGCGTATAACAACGAACCGCGAGCGTTCTCGAGGAATTTTTCTTTCCTCCTTCATTTTACTTTCCTCCCTTATCCACCCTCCTGCTCTTCAGCCTCTTTTTGCCCCGACGCTGTTCTCGCTGCGCGGAAAATCACACGGATACCTTTCGCCGAGCGTCAGAAAGGTTTAAAGTGGCTGTAATTTCTAATTTCAATGGAAACTCGAGTTGGCTTGTTACAGCACGGTGCAAATTAGCGAAAGAATTACGCGAGCGCCTTTTGAGGCATGTTAATTAACGAAATGAACAGGAGTCGGGGATTAAGTTACCCTTTCTCGAAGCTGCGCCGTCGTTTCTACTTTCGCCTTTGAAAAGCCGGCTTTCCTGCAAGCGGCCAGCTGCCGACCGTCGAATTCCGTGCACGCGAAATTTCCCGAAGAGGAAACAAAGAGCAGAGGGTGGCAACGCTCAGAGTGGTGTATCTCGGCCGTGACTTTAATCGTCTCGAACCACCCGATGCGTCAAAGAATTCAAAGGGACGGGAATACTCGAGGAAACCTCGCCCGGTTCTTTGATAATCCAAAGCCTGCAGGCGGTGGAATTTCTTTTCGGACGCTTCTAGCCCGAGTCTCAGACCCCGAGAGTCGTCGCGGGAAAGAAAGATGGCGCGCCGGTTTTTCGGCGTGACGGCGGTGCTCCACGTTGCTCGTCGTCGACGCTCGTCGTCGTTAGAAAAATCCCTTTCGCCGTGGGGTGAGCACCAGGTGGGGAAAAAAGCGTCTCAAAGAGTTTCTCGCCGATATGAAACGAACGAGACAGCGGAAAAGTGGAAGGAGGTGGAGAAGGTACTCGCGGGGTACGTCTTACCTCGTTAAGAGAATAATGCCCTTCCGGTGCAACCGACGAGCTTACCCCGCGGTAGACTAACGAGAGTCAACGATGCAGACGAGCAGAAACGACCACGGACACCCCTTAACAAAAGCCAATCAACCCCTCGGTGTTTGTTCACGCGACCCTTTGTATTCGAGGGGGGTGGATGCTCGCGCAACAATAATTAAACATCTCGCGGAGGTTCTAGCAAACGACGTAATTAGCTGTTTAAGTGCTTAAGCACATCGGGTTTCGGAGGGGGAATGCGCGAAATAAAGCAGAAAAATATTCCGCCAGAGGTATTTGTCTCTCGTAACTCGACGCGATGTGATACGCGGCAGGGGACGAGAATAAAGGGAAGGCACAAAATTATGCTGAAAGTATGAAATATAAATGTACGCGAGGTGTAAAAGTTCCGATATGCCGTTCTGTCAAAAATTACCCTCGCGCGTGTTTCCAGTTGCAAATGCGACAATAAGCGGGGCTTCGAAGGAGCAACGGAATGGTACTTCGGAGGAGAAATGGCGCAGCAGAAATTTCTTTGCAAATTACTAAACGCGTTGTAAAAATTTATTTATCGCAGATTCGTGTAGACGCGACGTGACAATTGAACTGTTCTTTAACGCACTCTTGTTCGATTGCATCGGATTTTCCATCGACGTCGCGATTTTCCGAATAAAAACGTGCGTCAACATTGGATATTTTGACAAACACGTTTTTGACGGATGAATCCCTGCTTCCTAAAAGCTCTTCGATTTATCATATTTATCCGAGTACACACGAGTGCTACATGTTGCATAAAAACTGGCTACAGTTCATAAATTACGCAATATCGAAACCGCGGTTCACAAGTACCGAGCGTTATACGAGAGTTACCTGTTCAGGGATGCAAAAGTTGATGGTATTCGCGTAACCAGCAACGAATTTTTATAACCGGAATGTACGACTGGAAAGCGTAATCAGTGGTACTGATTAATGATATTTCACTGCAGGATATAGACATGCTGCAACTGTTCGCCTCGCCGGCGGGTCGAGCACTGTTCACCGGTGACAATCGGCGAAGAGGATCGACGTCGACCTCCTCCTTGTCTCGAGAGTCCTCTTCGAGGCTGAAGAGAGGCAGAAGACCATCGGGTACAGTCAGTGCGCCGACCACACCGCTGAGGCAACGGAAATCGAGCGCGGAGCTGTACAAAGAAGCCGTCGAGATTCTTGGTCTTACCTGTTCGTTGACTGATAGCTGCCGATGCATCGATTGCCAGGTAAGCCTTCCTTCGTCTTTGCTCGAGATAAAAGCGGCTGTCCTCGACGCGACAGAATTTTCCAATTTCGCTTTGACTAATAGAGTGCGCAAGATTCTGTCAAATTTCTTTCTTCAGGGGGTCGATATTTCGTTATCGAATCGATATTTCCACCTTTTCCTCGCGTTTCGACGGAGATATTTTATTCGAAAGACTCTGGCTACAGACTGCACGTTCGTTACCACGGCTTACTCGCAGAACGATGAAACATTTGTACGATTCGCTGAAGTGATTCAGGCGTGGTCTACTATCGCGGTTGCGCTCATGGCTGACCACTGTAATGATCCTCGGCAGCGAAAGAGTTAATCTCGCTTGTGCCCGAAATTCCACGTTTTTCCCACGGTTAGCCGGGAAATTAGGAAGGCGGAAATTTTTATCAATTCGGCCCGAGTGAAATTTCTGCGTCGCGATAGCATCTGCGGGAATAAAGAAATTCGGAATAAAAATTCAATTTGCCCTGTGCGTTGAGCCACAAGCGGGCTAAAGTACGGCGCGTAATTGCATCCATTCAGGAGGCCACTTACACGAGGCGCGTGTAATTAGCGCGAATCAGGGAGAATAATCTTGGAAATTAAGGGGATATTGTCTCGATTTCAGAACTAATTGCCTAACTCCTGCGAGGCCAATTGTAGCCGGTGCAAGGCGGTCTTCATTGATTGGCCATTTCCTCGGAGACGCGTAAATATTTCTTTGGCCCAGTTTTTCGCCCAGGTGCCCGATCAGCCGGTGTTCCCGTTTCGGCGAGCCATCGTGGAAGAAAATGAAACGTGGAAACGGGCATCCGAATTTAATTAAAAATTTTATCGCTTATCGGTTAACCCGCCGCAATTTCAGCCTCGCGCAAATTCCACCCTACGTGCGTCCATACGTTTATGGAATCACGGAATACCGACTTTTCGTGAGAGAATATATATGTGTATATAGGAGCATTAAATTTCGTAGCTTTCCAAATTTCAATTTTACGTCGATTTCATGTCCATTCTGTATTGATTCTATACGGATTTCGTATGGACTTTGTGTCAGTTTTATTTGTTACGTATACAAATCGATGTTGTCACAGATTTTCGTTCTTCCTAATTATAATGAAAAATAAATAATTCTTCGCAATTCGTTTTTCTTAAAACGAAACAATTCTGGCCATTTTCAACCGCTGTAAAGACACTTTCACGAGCATTTACGGTCACAGGACCATTCCATTGAAGCTCGATGCTTTTTCAAGGTTCACGCCGTTTGGCATTGATCCTCCAAGGTCAATATTTTCCTACGCCCGGACTTTCGAAGCCAGAACCTTCGACCTTTTAACGGCTACCTCGCAGAGCAGAAGCAGTCAGAGTCAAGGGAGCTTAATGTCGGAAAGCTGTGACCTCGAAACCTCAACGGCGAGGAGCTTCGACCTTGAAAGCCGAATGTTAAAAAACGTTGACCCGTGAAATTCGACGTCAAACAGCTGTGGCCTGGGAAATTTCGCGTCAAAGAGGTTTAACCTCGTCGGATTTTGCGACGAAATCCTCGGACCGCAAAAATCTCGCGTCAAAAATCCCTGACATCCGAAGTTTACTCCGTTGCGCTATGAAATCTCCCTAAATCACCGGAAATTACCGTGTCGCGCGAGGACACGCGTTTCGAAATGGATTCCAACGGAATCCAGCAACGGCCAACCGTTATCTCTGTTAACGCTGCGTTAATTTCTTTGCAGAGCAATTACTTCGACTGCGACGACGATTTCGGCGACGCGAGGACGGAATTGGCTGCGGGGACACCGATTCTGCTGGACCACGCTTTGTCACATCCGTTGACGTGTTCCATACAGTAGCAGCCGAACGACGCGTCTCGAAATCCACCATCGTTGGTCTGCTATGCCGCCTGACGAACCGGAAGTCATCGAGCTGTCGAGGATCCATCGGGAACGCCGAGTACAAGGACAACGTGGGGATATTCCACGCGTGCACTTCGATCTCGACCTTAATCTCGCGACACTCCCATCCGAGAGGAGAGCAGAGGAGAGATCGCGTGAACGAAGAAGGATTTAGAGTTAGCTTCATTCATCGTTTATTTATCATTTGACGAAAGGAAACGCGAGCAACTTCCACTGCGCCGAAAATTCTGCACGATGGTCTTGATTCTCGTCGATGCTTCTCGAACGTTCGCGCGTCCTCTTCCAACGTTCATTGCGTTCATTGAGTTCTTCGACGACTAGATTGTATTGTATATTTCGATTGTATGTACGTGTACAGGGAAGATGACGAAGGATCGATATCCGTATCGACTGATACAGGATAACGTGTCAGGGAATGTAACGACGTGGGAATTTTGTATATGTATTTCAACTTGCGTTCAATTGCAACATCGTTCACGTGCTAGTAGAAATGTCGGTACAGGCATGATGCTGTTACGATGGTGACGAAGGGTGAGGAGCAGAGGCGATCGAACGGCGGCCTCGTGCGATTCACTCGTTCGTCGTTCACTGACACTCGATGGACACGGTAATTAACGATAATTATTAAACGAAACGACATCGCGGACGACAAATATATAATTTGTGGACAATACATTTAACGGGATAAGTCACTGCTCCGATTGTTTCTTCTCTTTTTCTATGAAACGAAAATACGCAGGCTTACGTACCTAGGGATATTTATGTACAAAGCGCTATCCGAACGTGCAACGGTCGGCCCGGCGATCGTGCCGGCTAGGGAAATTGATGGGGGGACGAAAATTCGGATAACAAAAATGAAAAAGTAATCGAAGCTCATCGTTTCACGTTTTTATTATTAAATATTTCTATATATATATATATATAGTCTATCGATACGGGAGGGTTATATCCAACGCGACATTCAATTTTCGAGCAAAACACGGTAACGCGGAGGAATGAAAATAAAATATACGATAAACGATAGGAGGGAACGGGAGGAGAACGAGAATAAACAAACAAATGAATTACGCTCGTCTGGCTCAAAATTGAACGAATTTATTTATCCACGCGAAACGACACATGCCAAATGAAGAAAAATGCGCCAAATTTCTAATATAGTTAGCGATAAACGATAATAATAAATGAATAAATAATAATTAATACTTAACAAACGATAACCCTAATAATAATAATAATTTCGATCTAGTCGGAAGGTGTAACACGATTAAGACGTTTATTAGGTGACATTTAAACTGTTTGTCGACGTACACGATATGAGGATTATATATATTATATATATATATTATATACATACGTGTATACATACACATTATATTTACTACACGTTTTATTATTATACTTACTCGATTAAGTCTAGTAGGGTATACACGTTGTTGAACGTTCACGGGCTCGCGAACAAGCCGAAACGAGGGAAAGCGTGGAAATCGAAGTGCAGGGAAATTAGACGTGGCATGGAACGAGAAATACATGGTAGAAACACGCGTAACGCGTTCGTACGTGGAACTTCTACGGTGCCAGTCGACACGCGCGTTCGCGTCTGACATGTTCGCACCATTGAGTTTTCGAAAAACACCATCCTTCTCGGCAGGTGTTCGGGCGTTTAAGTTATCAACACGTCGACTGCGGTTCTCGATTGCCGCCGATGAGTGCATCGTTAATTTTAACGATGTTTCCAAGTTTCTTCCGCCAACGCCGAGCTAACGAGATTACGGTTTCCCATGGCTGCCTGTACCACGGTAAACGTTATTAAAATTCCGTGCAATTCCTTTCTTTGCGTGCAGGAGTCCCTTGCTCGCGCCAATGCGAACGGGAATGACACGACGCGTCGTTCGATTATCTATTCCTCTATCGAGGCTTCTAGGCTACTCCTCGACACTCCAATCCCGCCTTCGAGATACGTTACGCGAAAAAATAAGTACAAAACGGTGGAAAAAGTCGACGTGACATAGCGAAAATTGCGAGTACGAGCGACGTAACGATAATCGAGGGCCTGAGCCACGTACGATCGCGAAGAACGCGTTGGGGGGTGAATCGTTTGTGTCCCAAGCAGCGCGATGGCGCTTTTCAGTCGAAGTAGCGCGTTCAACTTTGCTGAAGCACATATGTCACATAGCACCAACAAACGCTATCGCAACGATTGGGATTTTTATTGATGAACGGATTGAGATTTTTATCGAATCCCACGACGATGGGATTTTTCGACGTAAAATTAAACTAGCGCTATCGCGGCGTTTGCACTTCTTCGCACTCGATTAACCCCTTGGCTACTGTGGGCGCACATACGCGCTCAGAAATTTTGCTTTTGTGACACGGAAGGCGCATATAAGCGCTCAGAAATTTGGCTTTTGTGACACGGAAAACGCATATAAGCGCTCAACACAGTTTGCGTTTGTGACACGGAGGGCGCATCTCTACCCAAAATTTCGCCGTTCTCGGTGGACATTGTAAATGAATTCCTACCCGTGTGGTACGACCGGTGCGTTTCAAAGTCTGCCGTAGTCAAAGGGTTAAGGCAAGCGTTATCGCGCTGTTCGGGCTTTCTCGACCGTGTTCTTCCAAAAGCCTCCGGGACTCAAACGGTTAAAGAAAGCGTGAAAATTCACGGATGAAATTGGGGTGGGGAATATTGGAAGAGAATCGAAGATTCGTTCGAATTCGTGGGTTAAAATCGCGCGAATCGAGGAATCGGGGAAACGACAGAGAATTCGCGTTCAAGAATGCAAGTGCCAAACTAAAGTTTAATCGTTTAAGCTCCGTAAGCTTAGTGGTTCGCTATCGAAGTCTCTTCTTGAATTATCCGATAGATTACGATTTAAAGGAGATTGAGAAAATGGAAAAAGAAAAAAAAAGAAAAATTCCGGCGATTGAGCTGACATTCGCGAGTTTTACCAGACGATCCTTTTCACCTGTTAAGTCTATCGTGCTACCCTTTTTGCGCGAGGGAAAACGCGTGTTTATCTCGTTGCCAAGCTTGTCGAGTCCTCGACGATGCCGAAAAATGAGAAAAAAGACAGGGGAAAAGGGGAAAAAAATGATGGATCGAGTGAGAAAGGAGAAAAAGGAAATTGTATATTGATCGTAAGAGTATGTACGAGAACTTAGGGCGGTTCTGATCGAGTTTTATACACCTCCAGCGAGTCTGAGCCATCGCGTGTTTTATTACGTTACTGTAAACGCGTGCGAGACGAGATGGAAATTTTTTAGCCACGATTGCTTTCCTTTTACAACGAGGCAATTTCACTGATCCCGGCCACGTTCGTGGCGGTTTCGAACGGTTTTAACGCTGCCATTTTTCCGTGGGTCCTTCGTCCGACATAACGCGGATTCTTTCGTCACCGTTGTTCACTTTCGATAAGACTTTTCGATCATTTCAATTTTTGCGACAAGTTCGTTCGTATGTTCGACGATATCGACATCGCGATAACGCGTTTGCGTGAGCAGATTATCATCGGCGACGTTGTTACACGCGTCTAGATAGAGGGGTTATGTGTAATTCTTCACTGGCTAGTTTGCGAACGGAAAGTCGAATAAATAATGACAGAGTACTTTACTTGGTCATTTTCACGATGTACGTATAGTTTGTTTGGTTGTTTTTATTTTTATTGTATATTGTAATTCTTGTTACTTGGAGAACCTCGCATTCCCGCCTCTCTTCCGGTTGAATCAAGCAGCCAATTTCGACTATAGATCGTTGGTTATCTGCGCGATCGTCGCGTCGAATTGGCTTTCTCTCATCGACGAAAGTAAATGCGCAATTAAATAATCTTTTTTCCGAATATTCGAGAGACAGAGACGCGTAAACCCTTGAAAGAGATGCGAAGTTTCGAAAAGGGAAAAAAGATACGTGGCTTCTAATCGTTTTATAGTTATGTAAGCGGTAATTAAACCGAGGAGAAATTCTTGCAACACGCTGCGGCGTACTCTTGGATATGACTACCATTAAAATACGATAAAATATAAGGCAACATTGTTTCCTTTGTCACCCTTGTTTATTCCTCCCTTGTACGTTTAATATGGTGCATTTTCTTCGCTTGTGATCTTTGAAAGAAAGTTTTTATGTTAAATATGATCGATGAAATTGACTCCGGATAATCGTAATATTAATTTCAAAGTTTTTAAACTGAGCGATATTTTTGTTTTTCTTGAACTACAGTTCGATTTTTCGTATCATCGTCTTTAATTGTTAGTCCTGGTTGCAGCTTCCTACATTATCGGGTGGTGATTGTCTTTGCTTATACCGACAGAGTAGGCAACGAGGCGATCTTCTATACCAACCGTAACTAAACAGCGACTAGTTTTAACCATCGCTTGATAAATATCAATGGTCGGTAACTCGGATATGTTTTCTCCATTGATAATAAGAAGGAAATCCTCTTTATCTTCTGACGATTGATAACAGATGTCTCTTACTTCGATTTCAAAACTGTAAATTAAATTACCATCCATCGGTTATATCTCCTCGTCTAAACAATGCTCTTGCCTTTCTATACCTTTCTATCTTATTATTGTCGAAAAATGAACCCTTATTCTGTACCACATATTCCTTCAAAATTCACCGCGAATATTTAACATTCTGTCTACAATACCTACCTTCTGAATATCGTCTAAGTAACAGAACAAAGATACATTCCCCTATATCCAATAACCTTCAACCTTCTTCCAGATAACCCACTAAACAATACCTACCTTCTGAATATCGTCTAAATAACAGAACAAAGATACATTCCCCTATATCCAATAATCTTCAACCTTCTTCCAGATAACCCACTCATACGCGATGCATCAGAAACCACCTTATCCAAGTCGAATAACAACCAATCCACAGCGACACCGAAAGACAGTAAAAAGGTAGGCAGTAAATAGAAGGCAGGATGCAAATTGAATTCGTCGTTGGGGCGGGAGGTTACTCTTATTTCGTCGAAGGGCCGGAGTGTGAGTGGTTGAGGAAAGGGTGTTGGTGGATGGATAGGTGTCCTCGTCGCCGTCGAAGGATACCTTTGGGAGCACCGCTTATATCGAGTTAGAGCCGTTTGAATACGAGGCGCTCCATTGGAAAGGGGGCCGTCGTTCGAGATACCGAAGGATCAAAAGTTGATATCCGGCCGCCTTCCACGGCTCTAGTCGTCCTTATACGATTATCCGTAGACCTCCTG